ATTATTACCGCTGCTGCTTTTCCTTGTACTATCTTCGAGTAAATCTATGATTTCTTTGTACTGAAAAAACATAATCAGTTCAAGGCAGCGTTAACATGAATCCAATAACTAATAAGCTAATAAACATTTCTAATTATCATGACAAAGATTATCTTTTTGTCATTGTGACACTGTTCTGCTCAGGCCACTGAAATCTGCAGTTTTACTGAGACGTTTAACATTACTTATGTGGCTCCGTGGGTGGTACAGAGTTTAATGAAATAATTTCAAATTGCAATCCTCAACATTTATCAGAGTTTGAATCCTGCAGTGGGAGGGTGAAAAAAAAAAGATTTCTCATGGATTTAATCCTGTGGTAAGAGATATTGAGGCCACACCATATAAAATTCCTATAGTTAGCAATGAACACCTTGCAGCAAACCTCCAATGCTGAAACAACATCATTTTTTTAAATGTCTTCTCAGTCCACTGACAGACCTCCACAACCACACTTGGCATGTCTCTTCTTAGTCCTCTGACAGACCTCCACAACCACACTTGGCATGTCTCTTCTTAGTGCTCTGACAGACCTCCACCACTGTTTTATGAGGCGTGTTAAAAAAAAAAAAATAGTAAGTCCTGATATAAAATTTAAAAAAAAAACGTATATAAAAAGGATTTATTACAGCCAAAAGTGAACCACACATGTGCATTATTTCTTAACACAGTCACTTTTGACTTCAACATATTTTTGGTATCGTGGCACCAGGTTCTTAATTGCAATGTCATTGAAGTCTGCTGCCAGTGTCTTGCCATTTGCCCCTGTCTGCAGTTCATCAACAGATACAAACTGCTGGGATGCCAGCCACTTCTTTAGGTGCATGCATAAAAAGTGGTAATCACATGGCACCCGATCTGGGCTGTAGGGCGGGTGGTCAACAAATTCCTAGTGAAATATTCGCAACGATTGTTTTAGAGTGCACACAATTTTTGCATTCATTATTTTTCTGTCACAATATCAAAATTCAGTGAACATGAAACTTCCGAAAATTTCACAGACAATGCAGAAATTGTGAAAAGAGGATTTTCCTGAATTTGTTCATTTCTTCCACCAAATTATCTGTCACCACACTCGGCCGACCACTATGATCTTCATCATGGATATTTGTTCACCCTTCTTTAAACATTCGACACCATTTCCTAACTATACTATTAGTCATAACCCCTAGTCCATAAACCCCAAAAAGTTGCCTGTGAATTTCAGCAGCACTGTTGTTTGTTGCTAAAAAACAAAAACAAAACGAATCAAAGCTGGCGGGAGTATTTATGTTTGCACTTACTATAAATGACTCACATGCAGCATCAAACAAGATTTTACAGTGAAATAATAGCACACAGCTAGCTAATGAACCACATAAACATACTGCACATGCACATTTACGTTTTCCATCAGTGTTTGTAGCTGCTGTCAAAATGGGACTTACTTAAAAAACGCACCTCATGTAACCTGTCAAAATGTCTGCTTATTTATTTCCAGTGACCTCAGCATAATCCTGCATATAAACAAATGCAGTTTTTATAACCAAGGATTTCTGTATTAAATTAAACTTTTCTTCTGTGTGTATCTGGTACATATACGTTTTTTGGCTATCTTTCGAATAACGGTCCCCATATGAACTACGCAAACAGTTAACCCAAACAGAGCCTCACAACACAGACAGTTAAACCAAACTGAGCCTCACGCATATGTAAAAGTCGCATTTCTTTTGCGGCGATTCAACCGTGTCAAAAGTAGTATTAACTGCGCAAGACATTTTCGCGGAACGCAACGGATTTTTTTACGGCGATTAGATGGCAGCAAAACAAGGATTAACTGCATACGATAAAAAATTACCGACACGAGACAATAGTCCCCATAGCGCTATCCTACGGCAGGGCCCGAGCTATATGTAAGTTACCGACCGCTGTTCAGCGACTATAGTGCCACCTCCGAGAGTATCCCCCGCGCCGCTACCTTCGGCGCGGAGGGGGCTAAACTAGATGGCTGGGACTCACGAGCAGCAGCTACCGCAGCTCCTGCAGCTTCCTACAAAGTATTCGCTCGTGAGTCCCAGCCATCTAGTTTAGCCCCCATTGCGCCGCGCGTAGCGGCACGGGGGATACTCTGGGATGTGGCACTACAGTAGCAGGACAACACTCAATACCTACTTTTTCCGTCAGAACTGCCACCGTGGTCACAGTCGCGACGGTCAAGGGGTGGTCGGAATAGTGTAGCGCCATAGCGGCTGGTGGTTTGAAGTTGTCCTGAGGCGACTGCTGGTTTGACGTTGGCTCAAGGCGACTGCTGGTTTGAAGTTGGCCCGAGGCCATATGCGCGTACATTACAACTCGCAGTATTGATTATGTCCCGCCCGGAACAAGACTTGCGGACAAGTCGCGTCCTGTTGACATCGCAGACAGCCAGAAAGAACAGATATTCGGGCGCTATTGCTATTTGCAACGTCTGTGCCACAATTTTTACTTATAGAGGATGTCAATATCGTTCGTTCCCAAGTTACAGCTTTCAAATGTTTGTAGTGTAGGACGTAATGAGGCTCTGTTTGGGTTAACCTTTTTGCGTAGTTCAGATGGGACCGTTATTCGAAAGATAGCCCTTTTTTTTCTTCTTCTTTCGTTCGCATGAAATAAATTGTCTATATCTGCAAAGCTGTCTCTAGTATGAATTTCACTGTCTTTTGTAATTCACTAAGCGGCCCGTAAAGTTTGACTTCCACAAGTGTCTCTTTTGGCCAAAGGTTTTGCCTGAAAGCGTTGAATCTGGGACAGTCTTGAAGGATGTGATCTGTTGTTTCAGGTGCCAGTCCACAAGTACACATGGCTGATTGGCCAATCTTAAATTTGTTGTACATGTGGGAGCGAAGTCGATTGTGCCCTGTTCTAAGGCGAAGGATAATGACTTGCTCTGGTCTGTCCATAATATGGTAATCATCTTGTGCCAGTTTCGGTGGCATTCTGATTGATTTGATCATTCTCTTCTTCTGTTGATAAGAGACTGGTATGTTAGGTTGTTCTTCAGTTGCACCTTCCTTAGCTAGTTTATCAGCTTTTTCGTTTCCGGGAACTCCACAGTGGGAAGGTATCCACTGCATTACTAATTTACAGCGGTTGCCTAGTTCGGATAATAGTGTCCGTATGCTTGGTAATTTTCCAGACTGGAGTGACTGAAGTACTGCTTTTG